ATTTGGTTCCATGCACTGTGGATTTTAGAAGTCATACAGTGAAACTAAATTAATGTACACTGTTCAGAAAGTCAAAACCTAGATAAGTAGGATTATCCTTTATCTCCATAGAAAAAATACTTTGTTTTTATATAATGTGTAGTTTTAGCTTTTTTTTACCATTTTGCATTCACTGACAAACCCCACACAGTTATATCACAGATAACTAACACGTATTAATAATCCTCCTGTGTGCAGACAGGAGAGACCTGTGCTGTAGCTTTTGTTCTAAAGGTAAGTTACCAGAGGTCAGCCACAAGGTGGAGGCTTCGAATTCATCACCTGGTAAAAGCTACAAAAGCACTTACATGTCAGCACATTTGTCATTCCTCTCTAAAGAAGAACTGTACCTGAACTCAAACCAACAAGTTGGAAAGCAGAAATCAAGGCTTCAGACTGAGCTGGCTGCAAAGCTTAGCCTGCAGTCTTCAGCACATCATCTGATGCACCAGACTAAAGTGCATGCATGTACATATGCACAACCTGCTCCTCTATTTCCACAGTGCCTTCCAACAACAGCTCATTTTCAGTTCCATCCTCAGTATCATCCCAAAGGGAATGATGACCAATCTGGGGCCAGAAACAGCCTGGCACATGCCACCATTCACATTTAAAAGGAAGAAACACAAACCCAGTAAAGGTTCACAGCACCTAAACCCCCACCATACCTGCTGGAAACTCCCAGAGCCCCTTTTCAAATGAGTTCTCTCACTGTGGTGATAAATACAGAGGAGAATAAAAATGAGATTTGTTTGGTTCACTGGGGCTGTAGGCTGTTGGCATAATAAAGATTTATGCATGGAGAAACAACAATCTCAAAGCAAAGCATTCATGTGAGACTCCATAAAAAAAGATTAATCTGACCTTGTACAGGGAGATGCTTTACCATACTACTTGTCAAACAGTGGGATGCAACCTGGTAGAGGTTCAGTGAAGAGGTACCTACTGCTCAGCTATTCATAAATTACACCTGAAATAACCCCACAGAAGTTTTGATGAGAAGGAGGTAAGGTGAAGCCTTTCTGTCTACCACTGCTGATTTCCAACCCTGAAGAAAGATAAGTCCAGTTTCTCAGCAGCTACCTTTGTGTTCTACAAGGCCCATGACTTTCCCACAGATTCCCATTTAAAGGAGTAGGGAAAATGAAGTAGGCAATTGCTACCAAGCCCACTTTGTAAATATGTACCACCCTCCTGGTATCAGAGAGAAAAATCTGCTAGAGAATGTCCCAACTTTCAACTCCATCCCCATAGGAGCTGTACCAGGCTTCTGATCCACTACTTCCAGTTTCCTTTACCCAGCCTCTTACTATCAGAGGGAGAATCAAGAACTGTACCCTATGTACATCATTTAGAGCACATTTCCATCACAGCTCACAAAGGCACAGAACAACAAGTTCATTAGATTTCCTTCCCAAACAAACAAGATTCCCTAGTTTCTCAAATGTTATAGACACCTGTCTCTCTGTATGAGGACTGAGCATCACACAGTAATACACAGGATTGGATCCTCTGATTCCCTACTGCCTCTCCTTCCCAAATCTTCTCAATAGCAGTATCATGTTGCTCAAATTGCACATCTCTCCATGTCAAGAGTAGCTGATCTCCTCAGAGTCTCCCAAAGGCAAAAGAGACCCAGTACAACAGAAAACCCAATGTGTGATCATCTTGTTAGCCTCCTAGCATTTTGCTATGAGACCAAATGTGATATAAGTGATGGCAAAACTAAGACTGCTGTGTTTAGACTGAAATAATGTTTTTAGTTTGGTGGAGGTCAGTCTCAGGAGGAGAAAGGAAGATGTCAGTGTGCCAGA